AGAAGAACCCGTCCAGAGGACCTATACATTTTTTCCTTTTGATTTTTTACCTGGATTACTGACATGCATCAGGACATTCAGGAGGAAACGTTTCAATTCGGGGTTTGTTTGTTTCATTTGAGTCCACTCGTGCTCCCAAATAACCTGAACCTGGAGACCATGGACTGATTTCAATGCCTGTAATTTTTCATTGGTGGTATTGTACAGCTCTGCAAATGGAACRTGTCTTAGAGGACATTTTTCAAGAGGTAAAAAGCAGTTTGGACATTCGTGAAAAATACTGCCGAAAAATTTATTTTTTATTATTTCACACCCTGAAATTCTGCATAATGTCTACAAAAACTGCCCAAACTGCTTTTCACCTCTGTTTAAAGCTTATTGAATAATCATTCTATTGGAAAACGCCAGCCACTCTAACCATTGAACAGACACGTTTGAAAATGTTTTGCATTGTCTAACGTAGTTCACAGGAGACGGAATAGTGAGTGTATTCGGTTTCAAAAAAATGCTGAGAAAAACAGACATGCACGCACCGGCAATAGTGATTTTATTAAACTGATCAATATGACTTTGTTGAAAAAATTTTTGTCTGAATTTAATGCAACCTCTCAAAAGAATTTCTCTGTCGTTTCTACAATAAAAAAGAGCTTCTTTTTTAAAGTTGAACGTTTTTTGAGACACTTGCGTGTACCAAGTGTCAAATTTCTCTCATTCTGTAGGTGACATTTTTCCACTCCATAATCACCAGGTGGAGGAAATGCACCTACATATTTCAAATGTTGCTCYGAGGAAAATTTGTGTGGAAAAAAAACTTTTGAGCTATTTGAAAAACCCAGAGCCTTGGGCTTGGCTGACAGTTTCATGCTGAGAAAACTAAGACTGTCTATAAACCTTAAATTAAAATCAGGTTCGGTGAAGCACAATAATTTACTGCCTTGCGTAACGATTGCCAATTTTATCCCAAGCTTCACCATCACATTGAGGATGAGGTAGGAATCAAACCCAGGAGCATTGTGTGCAATAAATGTAAAATTCCGAAACAAAGGCCTTCTGAAATACATCATAAAATTATGAATGCAATCAAGACCGTAAGAAGACCACTCAGAACCTGTGATATTTTTGGTATACACCAGAAATGGTACGTTTACGTTCTGCTCATCTGCAAATGTTTCAAGGTCATAAAAAATGATTTTATCATTCACACGGTCATCCACTGCACAGGATTGAATGAAGCAATGATGGCTTCCGCGCGTCACGTCTGCCCCTAACGGTATGGGTTGATGACAAACGCTGCATTTTCGCAGTGCACAAATGTGGTGCGTTTCTTTTTTAGATATGAGAATGCGATAAATTTTTTGGCATTTAAGGCGTTTTTTTATCAGCTCGCAGTTACTGATGTTTTTCTGGGCCACGGGTCTGCGAACAGCAGTTTGTCTTAAAAAACATGCCTGATTACGACAAGTTCTGTCATAAATATTGACTGGGACAGAGCAGTTTATTACAGATTGGACAAAACCCTCCACAACTGTGTGTGTAAATTAATTAACTGAGTAAAACAAAAGTTACAGAAATATTTACACCCCAAGAAAGCTTTGATATTTTGATACTGTAATAATGATTGTA